GATGCAGCCTAGAAATTGCTTAAAATCCTCAGGAACTACTCTCCTGCTTCTCAGAATGACTCACCTTTCCCCACTCCGTTTACGCAGGCTGTAAATGCTGGGCCTTGGAACTCCAGTTTCTCAGTGTGTCAACCAAATATTGAGTACCGGAGTGAGTGAAAATCAATAATACTTTGTTTTTCTGTTCTGAAGTGAAGAAGCCTCCTGTTCTTTATGTATCCTTCAGTCTTTTGGACATTTCTCAAAACACTGCACTGCAGTATTTCACTGTTGGTGTGTCACAATATGCCCCTGCTTTCCAACTTTTCCCCTGAGCTTTTTGGAGAGTTTTAAACTCAGTCCTGGCATATCTGTCTGTTGTTCCCAGTCTTGAAATAAGCTGTGTAGTGGTGCGTGCACACCTGCCCTCTTCTTGCCCATAAAATACTGTGTCCTAGAAGACTGAACTATGCAAGAGTGAGATATGCAATCTTATCTCCTAGGAAATCTATGCCTTGCTTGTGACCAGCTTCTTTTAGACCAGAGGTTACCAAACTTGTTCTTAGTGTACCCCCTTCCAGATTTACCAGCTGTCTGTGTCCCCCTAGCAGTATACCCCTTAAATGCCTATTATAATCATTAAAATTAAATTTGCCACTACCCAATTTCTCCTGTGTACCCCCAGAGATGTCTTTTGTAGCCCCAGGAGTACACATACCACAGTTTGGGAACCCCTGTTTTAGGCCATTAAAGGAATTTCGTCAATGCTAAATTTATTTTCTGTCTAACTGATTAAGTAAACAATGTTTTCTTCCCTCTTTAGGTTCTCAATCTATCTCCAGGTTAGTCTCAGTTCTTTAGGACTTCGTGGCAATTTTTTTTTGCTTTCTGTAACAAGATTGGGCCCCAGGGGCAGCTGTGACTCCCCCTGATGGCCTTGTAACTCTTGCTCTGCTCCCTGGGTCCCCTTCCAGTTCCCTTCCTGCCATGTCTTGATGTAATGAGTTGATAGATGAAAAGGGAGAATACCTTTAGGTCCCAGATCAAGCCCTCATTTGTCCTGCAGCCAGCAGGTCCCTCTTGGGCCCGCTGTCCCAATCCTGCCCCATATGTGCCAAGTGGATTCTCTTGGCCTGTCTGTGCCCTCCCCCCCAGGTAACCTGTCGCCATGAGGGCTATTCATGGCATCAGACCTCCACTGCATTCATACCCATGTCTTGCAGGTGTTGCCATTTAATCACTTTCCCTTGTTGGGGCTTCGGCCTTCCCAGCCTCCACCCCTTTTCTTTAGCTGGTCCCTTTCTGCTTAGGCCTACTGTGCCAGACATGGCTTCTATGTTCAGCCCCAGTCTCGCCCTCTTGGGCTCTAGTCTCTGCCCCTCTGGGCCCTTGGCCTCAGGCTGCTTCTCTCTCTTTCTCTTGGGTGTCGGCTTTCTCAGTCTCCAGCTGCGTTTGTCTTGAGCCTAGTGCCATGGAGGACTCCAAGACACTGGTGTGCCCCTGGCACCCCACTATGGTTAAATACAGTGCCCCTCAGGCACCCCACTGTGGGTTAACCAGAATGTACCCCACTCAGGTGCCCCATTCACAAACCACTGGTGTAAGTGATAATGAAAGGGTTAGCCCTCTGATTGTAACGCACTTTCCCCACACTGGGTCCAAGTTACCCACCAGCTCGCTGGCTGGGCTACAAGACTTCCTCCTAGCCTGGGTTATATTCCTCTGCAAACCTTCAATGTCATACTAGCAGTCCTCAAAGCAGTTCTGCTGTAAGCCAGGCATGTCTCAGCAGCCTTTTTAGTTCAGAGCTCTTTCCTGGGCAGCCTGCAGAGCCAGACTCGCTGTTTTGTCTCAGGCACTGGCTTTATGTGCCTCCTAAGTCCCACCCCTTCCTGTCAGGTGACTCATCAGCCACCCACAATTGGCATGCTCTCTGGGTCTGGTGTCCAGGCTGCCTTCAGGGCAGCTTACTGCTGCTACCCTGCTGCTTCAGCAGGCTCCCTAATACTCAAACAAGGCTCTGCCCTGTTGTCCTATTGCTGGGCAGCTAACCCCACAATAGGTACCATCACCCTGCGAGTCCCTGGCTGCTTATTCCCCTGCAACTTGTCCATAACATGCAGTCTCCTCCCCATCTGGGGATATTCCTGTTGCTGCCTCTGTCCAAGTAACAGGAGCCTCTTGGCTCCCTCTTACAGTCTAGTCTCCTTGCCTGACTTAGTTCAGTTATGTGATTTCTAAACACAAATAAAGTTGAAAACTAATTTTTCCCTGCTTACAGCCAAAAATGTTTGATATTTTTTCACTTATGTCCTGGTTCTCATGCTGGGAGGCCTCTCTGGTATGAGAGATGGATGGGTTAATTCTTTTAGCAGAATTGTTTAATGAACTCTTGCCTTAAACAAAATAAAATATCACCATTTCTCTTATCTTTTTGTTGAATGGGTTAGTGTAGTATTGCTCTTAATGGAAGCAGCTTAACTAAAGCTGGATGGTTTTCAGAATCTCCCAGTAGAAGGGGAAATATTAGCTTGTTTTTTCTTTTGGAAAAGGAAATTTGATCACTTCTGTTTTACCCTTTATCAGAGTTCAAGAATAAGAACAGTGGATTTGAATAAAATGATTAAGAAATGTTTTATCGAATACTCAACCAGTTGCAGTTACTGTTATAAGAGGTTGTATTTAAGACTTGTGTAGGATTAATACAAGGGCTAGACATACGTTCAGTGACAAAATGCATTAGCTTAGGGGTGATTGAAAACAGTTGCAAATTTGGGTTGAATTCCACAAATAGCTTAAGCCATAAAAGGAAAAGAAAACAGCATAAACATTTAATAGAATTATAGAAAATGAGGGTTGGAAGGGGCGTCAAGATATCGTCTAGTCTAACCCCCTGCTCAAAGCAGGACCATGCCCAACTAGATCATCCCATCCCTTGTTTAGCCACGTCTTAAAAATTTCCAGGGATGGAGAGTCCACAGCCTCTCTGGGTAACCTGTTCCAGGGTTTTCCTACTCTCCTCATGAAAGTTTTTCCTTATATCTAACCTAAACTTCTCTTGCTGCAACTTGAGACCACTGCTCCTTGTTCTCTTGTTTGTCACCACTGAGAACAGTCTAGATCCATCCTCTTTGGAATCCCCCCTTCAGGTAGTTGAAGGCTGCTATTTAATTCCCTCTGTCTTTCCAGACGTTATAAGCCTAGTTCCATGAATCTCTTCTCATAAATCATGTGCCCCGGCCTCCTAACTATTTTCATTGCCATCCACTGCTGTCCAATTTGTCCACATCCTTTCTGTAGTACCATGTCCAAAATTGGACACGGTACTCCAGAAGTGGCTTCACCAGTGCTGAATAGAGGGGACGAATCACTTCTCTCAACCTGCTGGCAGTGCAGCCCAGTATGCTGTTAGCCTTCTTCCCAACAAGGACACACTTGGCTTATGTTAAGCTTATTGTCCGCTGTAATCCCCAGGTTTCTGCAGCTTGTACCGGTACATGGGTTTGTTCTGTCCTAAGTGCAGGACTTTGCGCTTGTCCTTATTGAACCTCATGAGATTTCTTTTGTTCCACTTGTGCAATTTGTTGAGGTCCCTCTCTGAATCCTAGCCCTATCCTCTAGTGCAGTGGTCTCCAAACTTTTTTGATTGCGCACCCCATCAGTAAAAATGTTTTGAGCGTGCACCCCCAATATATGTATATTTATTTATTTATAAATTATATACATGTACTACTGTACTAATATATTATGTACAATATATATAGATAAAAATATATAAATAGAAGTTCTAATATTTTCTTCCCGCACCCCAATGGATTGTCTTATGCACACCCCACTTTGGAGACCACTCCTCTAGTGTATCTACTACTCCCCCCAGCTTGGTGTCATTTGCAAAGTTGCTAAAGGTGCACTCTTTGCCATCTTCCAGGTAATTAATGAAAACATTGAATAAAACTGGCCCTAGGACTGACCGCTGGGGCACTCCACTTGAGGCTAGCTGCCAACTAGAGAGCCATTGATTACTACTGTCTGAGCCTGATGATCCAGCCAGTTTTCTATCCACCTTACAGTCCATTCAACTAACCCATACTTCTTCAGCTTGCTTGCGAGAATATTGTTGGACACCGTATCAAAAGCTTTGCTAAAATCAAGATATATCATGTCCACTGCTTCCCGCATCCACAGAGCCAGTCATCTCAGGTTTTTCTTATTGGTCAATGCAGGCACCAAACCAAAATTGATTATTTACACAACTTGAATTAGCCGTGGCTTCCTTTGTTAAGCAATCAGCCCCTCTTAAAATGACTTCCAATTGAACACAAACCTAACAATACCTGATTTGGTCACAGATATGGTAGTAAGAAATGAGCAGTAGTAGTATTAAATGGCATAATACTGATTTTGAATGGTCTCTATGTTTCTGGAAATGGTCACGTATGCTTAATTTTTATTCAGGTATTTTATTTTTGTTTGTTGTGACTGCCACTTGTTCTGATTTATGTCAATTTTTTCTGTCCTTTCTATTGGGTAGAAAAGTATTAGTAAGACTGCAGTGATTTTTGCATCCAATTCTGTTTCTTTATAAAGAAGGCAGACTGTCCAGTTTACAGCTTACTTTCCTTCAAACTGGACCTGGATCCTCTGATGAAAGGCGGAGCCAATTTTTTGTTGTTTTAAGCTTCATTTTTTAATAATGGGGAAAAATGAGAATCTTGAGGAATTTTTGGCAGAGTGTCCTGTTTTGATGTCAGTTTGTTACCATAGTGTTATAGAATAACTGACAGTCTGAGAACAAGATTGGGGTCTTATCTAACTATATATATGTTTAAAAAGATGGTTATGGATATTGACAGCCTGGGATGGGTTATCTAATTTGTAGTATAAATTAAAGTCTAATTACTAATTTTATTTGAGTTTACCCTTCTAGAATGCTGTGAAAAACTTACTTTGCCATGAACCTTCTTGCTATCCTTTAGTATATAAAGATTGACTTGACTTTTTGTTTGTGTTTTGAACTACAGAGTCAGGAGCAACCAAAACAAAGGCGACCTCACCGATAACTAAGAAAAACCCAAGAACTAGAAAGAGAGTCCAGAAGTAGATGAACCAAAATAACGTGTTCTTTTGCCCAGCTATCCTTTGTTCAGTTCCTGTAGCACTGGAATTTTTCTTTCCTTTTTTTTAAACATTCAGTTATTTTACAGGATTTGTATGACAACTGCTGAAGTTTGTACCCACTTTTGAAGAATAAATGTTTTATTAAAATATTTGTGCACTGTATGTACAATTTAATTCTCATAAATACAGATTTTTTTCCCAACTTTGAAATGAAGTTGATTTTAGTCTGTACAAGTTATTTTTTTTCCTCTTCAGATTACTATTGAGACATGACATTTTTTCGCTGCTTTATAACTTGGAAAGGGAGCCCACAACCATTCAAGTTTTTCTTTTTTTTTTTCCCCTTTTATGTTCGTGTCTTAGAAATATTAGCCATGTTGCTTCTAGTCTTCCCTGGTGTTGCATGAACACTTATTGGAGGTCTGATATGTAGATGTAGCACTAATTAGAGGGGAAGAAACAGCAAATAATTAGATACCTTTTGTTCAACTATTTCACAGGTGTTTTGTTTTATCACTTAATTCAGTCAGGCTTGGCTTACACTACAAAATTTAATGTTAAAGTACAGATTTCAGCAATCACATTGGTTATTTCCTCTTACACCTGTGTTTATGTAATGAAATTACTGAAAAACATCTTCTGACGCATTTAAATTTTGTAATGTGGCTGAACTTCAGTTCATCAAGTTTCCTTTGCCTAATAATGCCGTCCTCATATCAATTCTCTAGGTATCCATAGTCTCCTAGGGGAAAGACACTAGGCAAGACCTGAATTTCTTTTGGAAACCCTACAAACGCCATGTTTTATTTTTACCAAAAAGAAGCAACGAAGGGTATGAGCCCACTTTTTTCCTATGTAACTTTTTTTTACTTATACATTTTCCATTTTCTTACACTTTCCTTTCTTACTTTAGGGAAAGCTTGACTTGTGCTTATCACATGAAAATCATCTTTTGTCCTTGCTGCTTGGTAAGATGACTTTTAAAAAAAATTTATTCCATTTTTAAAGCACTTTTATGCTGAGCTGCCTTGTTTTCTTTTCTCCCCCCCGCCCCCCTCCTAATCCCAGGCATTTCTGGGAAAGTTTTGAGATCAAGTGTGGAGATCATTGTTTTACCTTGAAGCTTGAAAACCTTTTGCACTTAGGTAATGCAAGTAACTTTCTTTTAAACCGGAACAATAGATATAAGTCTTCTGAAGAATACTGCTTTACAAAAAATGGCAAACTGTTTAAGCAACATATAGGAGTAAATGAACTTTATTGGTATACCACTGTTTGTTCTTGCTAATTTAAATGCTTATATAATGTTAGTTATCCAACTGTCTGCATTCTGAAATAAACGGGGATGTTGGAATATAAAGTGTGTGCGTTTCAATGATTAAATGATCAATCAGATTTTCCTTTCTCTTTAAACAAGGAAATTTTGTGTTCATAAAATTGCAACTTTTTAAAATGGAAAACTGGATACCATCTACTGCCACCTGACATTTGGCCTGGTCATTGTATGATGGAAGAAATATACAGGAGGCTTTCTGTGCATTTGCATAAGTAGAAAAGAAACATGACAAGACTTTACAATGTTAGTAGTTTACCATATATTAATGCATTGGATTCCATAGAGTTTTCTTTCCCAGAATAAAGGGAAGGCTGCTATTCATTTTCTTTCTCAAAGGGTACTGCAAGAGGGTGGAAATGTTGTGAAAAATGATACTTTTGGTATCAGATCTGGCCTGTGGAGCCATGTCATTTGGCCTGTGGTACTCCCCAAGGGTCTGGAAATCTGGCAGTGGAAAAGCACAGGCAAGTAGCATTGCCATTGATCTGTCACTGCCAAATTTCTAAGCTCTACAGAGTGGGATTTGTCCTCACCAATCAGCCCCATGTGGCAGGATCAGGCCTACACACCACATCTGGCTCATGGACCAACTTGGCACTGCTCATTTGGTCGGTGGGCACCATTGCATGGATTTATATGCGGAACTTTTCAGGTGAAAGGGTGAAGTGTGCTGCTAATTTTATTCCAGAAAAAAATTGGCCCCAAATATCAAAAGCTTGGGGAACACTGCTCTAAGGTGCCATCCCTGACCCATCTTACAGCCAGCTAAAGATATATTGTTGGCAAGAAAACAGAAATTGTAATTTGTTGCTGTCAGGGAATAGGTGTGTTGCCACTAGGTCAAGAGAAGTGATTGTTTCCCTCTGTTTGGCACTGGTGAGGCCACATCTGGAATACTGTGTTCAGTTTTGGGCTCCCTACCACAGAAAAGATATGGACAAATTAAAGAGAGTGCAGCTCAGGGCAACAAAATGGTTCAGGGGCTGGGGCACATGACTTATGAGGAGAGGGTGGGGAAACTGGGTTTATTTAGTCTACAGAAGAGAAGACCGTGGGGTATTTAATAGTAGCCTTCAACTACCTGAAGGGGAGGCGGTTTAATAGAGGATGGAGCTGGACTGTTCTTAGTGATGACAGATGACAGAACAAGGAGCAATGGTCTCAAGTTGCAGCAAGGGAAGTTTAGGTTAGATATTGGGAATTTTTTCACTAGGAGAGTAGTAAAACACTGGAACAGGTTACCCAGAGAGGTTTCCATTCTTGGAAATTATCAAGACCTGGCTAGACAAAGCTTTGGCTGGGATAATCTAGTTGGGGATGGTCCTGCTTTGAGCAGGGGTTTGGACTAGATGATGTCCTGAGGTCCCTTCCAACCCTAATTTTCTATGATTCAAAGGTAGCATCATTCACTCCTTCTATATTTTATTGTTGATTAGTGAACATTAAATTACAATGCATGTGAATTTTACTGGTATGTCACCACTCTTCCAAATCCTCTCACCCATCCACGACTAGGCTTTTTTTGATATAATAAGACCAAACTTCAATACACAAAGAAATTTTAGGGTACGTGAGAAGAAAGTCTCCTAAGATGCACTGAGTTTTTTCAAATTCTGCCTCAGATCCTGAGATTAAAATACACTAATCTCAGGTCTTGGTAACAAAAAAGAATAGTATCTTGAGTGAAGTGCTTCCTATAAAATGTTCTAAGAAGCAAAAAGGCACTTTAGAGTCCAGGTGAATAGTTTGTCAGGCTGTGTCTGCTCTTGTCAAAACACAATAGCTAGTGGTCAAGCAGCTCTGGTGACTCCCTGTGAACTTCAATGATCCTTAGTGGGTGAGGAAGGTAAGGAAGAGCAGAGAGGAAGGTTTTCATAATACAGTGTGCATAGTTACATTTGTATTGCAAAATGGTAGGGAAATACACAGCTTACAGGGGTGGGGGGGGGGAATGTACTTTTTGTTGACATTCCCATTTGAATGAATGTAAAGCCCCTAACACAAAAGAAGCAAGCTGCCTTTAGACTGCATTTACTGCTCTTGATGACTCCAGTTGTGTGTAAATATTAGAAAACAGCAGGGTCCTGCATTCCAAGAATCACTTGAGCAGTGCCATGAAGACAAGTGTCCTTACTGGTATTGTAGTCATACTCCCAAGCTCTCCTGCTGTTTCTAATCTGTGCGCACAGCCGTGAAAAAACTGGACTGACATTTACAGGCACAGCAGGGAGACACTTGAGTAGAGAATGTTAAAGACTGTACTACCTACATTTTCAAAGTGGCCACCATACATGATAAATCTTCATAGGAGAACTAGTCTGTACTTCAACTGATGGTATAATGAGAGTATTGATAATGAAGCAAAGAATGCTTTTAGTGTGAATATTTAGCAGACAAATAGTTGTTTATATTTTTTCTAATTTAAAATATCTGGAGGGAGAATCTAATTCAGGATAGGTATAAGGGGTTTTTTATGGTACTTTGTTGATGGTCTTAAACCTCAATGGTTTATTTACAGAAATTTTTCCTAAAAGGTTAGACCTTAAAGCAGTAATTTGTGGAATCTGCTGCAGCTAATATATAAAAAGGGTCAGTTGCTTTCCTGAGTAGTTTGACAGACTTTACTCACTGTTTTGTCCCAGTGAGCTGCCAGATTTGGGATGCCATAATACCAGTAATGCAATTAAGTTTTCTGCACATTGTCTGGTTGACTTCTCAGTTAAGAGTTTCTTTCCCTTTGGGAATAAGACTAGACAGACTGTCATTTGCTATTACCAATTCTGCTTAGCATTATCACTGGAGCTTTTTTGTAATTAGCTATCTTAGTTGGCTCTTAAATTTTAATAGCCAATTGAAGCTACGTTTTAGCCAAGTTCCATATCTAAATTGCATTCAGTCCATTAACAAAGTTGGTTAAAAGGCTATTAAAACAAAAGCCAATATATGGTGGTTAGCACTTACATGTTTGCAGCAGGAGCAATGCCAGCCTTCAGTGAATTTTCTGAAGAAACATGTATTTCCTTCTAGCAAAGGAAATGCAGAAAGAATGACCAAGCTTAGCTTTGGAGACAAAGGCTGGTTTTACAGACTAGTTTCATGAGGAAACAAATGTAAATGTGGTTTGGGGTCTTTTTTGTTTTGTTTTGTTCCCTTTAGGAGGGGCAATTAATGGTCTTGCTTACACTTGACAGTTTTTTGAAAAGCCAAATAAATGAAATGATGTTTTTCTCCATTTCAGCTGATCAAAATTATTAGCAAAACCATCTGAACCACCTTCTGGTGGAAATGTAATCTTGCTGAGTTTAGTTTGTAAAACATCCTGCCAGACATTAAAAAAAACTGTAGGCATGCCAGCACATAGGCTCCAAGCGCCACTTCTCTAATTGATAGACCCTATTTTTATTTATTTATTTATTTATTATTCTGAAGACCATTGCTGGATACCTCACTTGCCTGAGCAATTTAATGTAGCATGTGTCTAGATTTTTTCTGTAGCACTAGGGTAAAGATTCTCCCGTCCCTTTTATGAAGGCTTATAACTTGTGATGAGAGCGTGGTGGGAAATTAACAGCTTTTGGACGATCCTGTAACTAGCAATGTTAGAAGCAAACAGTTACTTTAAAAAACAGAACAAAACCAACCTTGGAAAAATAGTTGGGATATTTGGAAACTAAGACACTGATCCCAGTGGCTTAACACTGGGCCTTCCTGTGAATGTGGTTCTTATCTCCAAATACAGTTTGTGCATATTCTACAAGGCTGAGTGTGCTTGGTTATCAATAGTGCCTTTTTCTAGGAAGTGTATCCAATTTGGCACTCTTGTTTTTTTAGTGGGTAGAATATCTTAGTTATGTCTGTGTAACCAGTTCAGCTCTTCCTCTTTCTGCAGTGTAGGACATCCTGAAGTTAATTTCCATATCTACTATCCAAGTTCTTCCCAGAGCGCACTGATAAATACATGGACAAGTGGCTTGTTAGGCAGAGAAGCACAAATTTGACTTCGGAGCCAAACAGTTGCTGTATGGGTATAACTTAAACCCTGTTGGTTATAGCCAAGTCAGATGAGTGTCAAACAGTTTACAGTGCCCCTATTGCACGTAAAAATCCAGGTTCTGTAGTCTGCCATGGGCTTTTGTTCAACTGTCATACTCTAACAAATAAAACAAACCTAATTAGCCATTTTAGGTTTTCCTGGTGGGGGAAATCCTTAGATAGCTTTGTCCCATCTTATCTCAGACTCTAGCCTTGGTGGCAAAAAGCAGAAGTGGATCAATTGCCAGGCACTGGTGATATTTGGTTGCTGGCAATGGTCTGTTTAGGCTATATGTCATCAATGCCATGAAACAGGTTTTCTTTACTCTCTTTAAACCATAGGCTAGCTATATGGGACAACGTGAAATCTGGGACAGTCCTCTTCCCCCGCCCCACCCCCCTCAACATCAGTGGTACTGCTGCAGCTGGGGCTGGGCTGCATGTTGCAGCTCTGGTACTACTATTCAGGAAGCTCAGGGATTCAATGGCCCATTAATGGCCCATTGTTCCTTACTTCACAGGTGTTAACAGTCATGTCCCTTTTTAATGATCATTCTACTAATCAAGCTAAATTTAGGGTAGTTTTGCTGCCTGCTAGGGCTTCCTGTTTTACAGCTCATGCTGCTCTGCCTCCTGCTGGACTGTGCCCCATGCCTGGGACGCTCATTTTAATTTTCAGTGGCTGGCCAGGACCAGCTTCTGAATCCAGGACTCTCCCAGTCAAACTAGGATCACCCTAGTCACCCTATTTAAATATGATTTAATATTTAAATATGAAATAAGTGACCCTATTTAAATATGATTTTAAATTTGAAGCCACTAGCTATATTAGAACTATGACCCTTCTAAGCTGTCCCTATGTTAACTTGCCCCAACTGAAAACTATACCCTTTCTGCTAGCCACCCTGATTTCCTTCTACAACAAAATTGCAAGCTTTCTGGATGGAGGGAGAGCAATGAATGTAGTATACTTCAACATTAGCCAGGATCTT